TAAACGTTTAGTCGGCTCGGGTCCCATACGGAAAGCTTAACTCATGTTCCCAAAGGGTCCATGTAGGTATATGGTAGGGTTTAGGGTTTAGGGTTTAGGGTTTAGGGCTTAGGGTTTAGGGTACGTATATGCGTGTGTATGTTTATACATGACTACTGAGTACTTAGGGCTCAGGGTTTAGGGGGAATTGTACCCATAAGAGCAGTAATCATCGTCATACTTAAAAAATGATATTGTAACGAGACTAAATAGCAACGATATTAACAATATATATATATATATAGTACTACGAAAAATGAATAACTGATGCTAATACTCAATAATACTAGCAAGAATAGCAATATTCCAAGCCTGGCCTAAGCCCACCGGGCCTATAGGCGTCCCTTTTCTGTCATTTTTGGGTCAATCCCCGACCCAGCACTGGGTACCGCAAAGGAACTGTTGTCGGTATATTAAGGCCTTCTGATCTCCATATTTAAAGGCCATTGCTGTATCCCCTACCCAGTACTGTCGTCTCCTCACGAATTAGTCTTTGATTTTGAGTATAATATAACCTCAGGCTTGGAGCACTTTGTTGTACTTAGTGTTTAGGAGGGTTACTGGAACCTAAATACTTACCAATGTCATGGTTTCGGGCTCCGTATGTAATCATGGCATAGGCTACATCCAATAGACCTCACAATGGTATTGGCAATCATTTGGGCTGCCTTATCAAGCCTGACCATCAAAGACCTTGACCGAAAACATGCATTCATGAAAGACGTGCCTGAACGCCCAATCTTGAGGATGAAATGACCAGAAACTGCAGCATCATCACCTGATGTGGAAGCAATTTACATACTCGCCTCTAGCTGCCGCTTCTATCCTCTATCGCTGCTATGTTTTTGAAAGCATTAGTCTAGCGAGCACCCGTAAGCCCCGGATGCCAAACCCCGAAGCGCTAAACCCTTAAACCCTAACCGCCACAGCCATAGGCCCCCAAAACCCTTTTCACCCCAAGAACCTAAAACCCCTAGTACAACCCCAGCTTTCATTCACGATTTTCCATCCACCTTTCCCTAAAAAAGGCATACGTAACCCCTAGAACCGTAAACCCCAACCCTCTATATCCATACAACCTTTACATAGTCCCTAATCCTTGGGTACATGTTTCATTCATTAAGAGCCGGATCATATTTGTACTATAACAATATAGAGCCCTTGATATCACTCCTGTTATAGACTGTTAAGGGTGGGGGGAGGACTCCAGGTACATCTTAAACCCTAAACACTCGGCCCTATAGTCCCCCTTAGGTAGATGGAATATGTCTTCCAGTAAATTCTATCGGGTTTAGGGTTTAGGGTTCTATCTACTTACGATAAACCCTAAGCCCTTTAAGCCCCTTTAACCGATCGTGCGATTTGCACAGCCAGGTAGCGCTCCTCGACCGGCAAGGGACGGGATGACTCCCATCTAGGACTCCATGGGATTCAGGGTTTAGGGTTTAGGGGTTTAGGGTTCAGGGTTCAGGGGTTTAGGGTTTAGGGGTTTAAGGTTTAGGGGTTTACTGTTTAGGGTTTAGGGGTTTAGGGCTTAGGATTTCAGAAAGGGACGCCGTATAGTTTGCTGGTGCTATCATTAGCTCAAAACTACAAAAAGGCGTCCACAGCGTCCCTCTCCCTAGGATTTCAGGCTAAGGTTTAGGGTTTTAGGACAAGGTCTGGACAAGGTTTATACAGTGGTTACAAGTGGGTTTTATAGGAGTTTTACAGGGATATAATGGGTCTAGGGATGGAATAGTGGAGAATCAAATGGAAGAGAACGTGGAAGTGGCATGGAAACTAGGATTGTATAGGGGTTCGGGATTTGAGGTTTTCAGTGGTTTAGGAATTAGAGCTTAGGAAGTAGGGGTCTAGGATCTAGGCTTTAGCGATACAACCCCCCCAAATGGAGAGTCAAATGAACAAGCAACGGAAAATAAATAGAACCCGCTACAGGGATTTATGCGGTGAGGGCTAGGTAGGGAATACGATTACATACAACAGTAGTGTGTCGTAAAAGCATATATAAGGGTAAAGGCATTAGGACGCAAGGGTTGAGGGTATATGGCCAGTGTAGAGGTAGGTTGTGAATGTCCACGGTGCGATTTGTCGGCTTCGGCTGTACAGACTCAAGACATCACTAACCATCCGCAGACACTCCTGCAGGTATCACGGACGCCTACATGGCAGTTTTCCCAAAAAACCCTAATTTTGGGAAACCCCCACACGGATCTTCTGATGCTCACAAAAAAACTTGCGTCGTGCCATGCGCAGGATGTGGCGGTTGCAGCTTCTACCTGGTGGTAGCTACCGGAAGCCCTGGCGCATGCCTTCTGGTAATGTGAAGAATTCAGATTGCACGGAGCCTGTTTACCAGAGAGCTGCAGGACAGCCTATTTTGGTCAGGGTTTGGGGTTTAGGATTTCGGGTTTAGGGTTCAGGATCTAGGGTTTATGGTTTAGGGTGTATGGTTTAGGGTATTGTCTTCCTCAAGCACATAGCCCGGCAGGCATTGTGGCCACCGTGCGAAAGTCTTGCAGCCCATGGTAGCCGGACCTTGTAGCATAGATCCTTTAATTATCCACTGGGTGGCTGATGCCTCCCCTTTACGGTTGCTGTTAAGGAACTTAAATTAAGTTACCATAGTAAGGCAACCTTGTCATCTACTATAAACCCTTAGTATGGCAACTTAGTTTGAGTTCCTTAACAGCAGCTCAGTTTACTTGCCTATGCTTGGCCGGGAAAGGGGATGGATCCCTAGAGCGTCCTACCCCTAAGCCCTTAGACCCTAAACCCTTAAACCCTAAACCCTTAGACCCTAAACCCTAATTCCTATAACCCATTCCCAACTGGGCATGAGTGAGTTTAAGACCTTTGCAAATGATCAAAGCCTCGGCTTCAAAATGACAGAGATGCTGGCATGCCCCCCGTCCCCCAGTAACATGGAACACCCTAAACCCTAAACTGGAGCGCCATGAAGGTCTCCTGTTAAAGGACTCTACTTTAAATCTAGCCTTTATGGGTTTTTGTTGGAATTTCCATGGCAGGTTGGGGGGGGAGCAGACAAGATGGACAAGGGCAACCGCGCAACGAAAGTACTCGAATGAGCTGTCAATATTAGGGCTACTTGTGGGGTCAGGGGGACTTAGTAAGTAGGTTAATAATGGGGATAGGGGGTTATTATATGGCTTATAGGGGTTAAGTTCATTTTTCATCCACATAAGAATCCTTGTTACCCTTTCCCCAATGCCCAGTTAATTAAGCAAACACGGAACTTCTTTGAGAATGATCCCTACCCAATCCCAAGCTGACGGTCTTACAGTATCCTTGTAATCCCTGTATTGGCTATATATCCCCAAGGTCCCTTAGGGTCCCAATTTTGAGAACCACTCACATCAAAAGTGGGCGCCACATAATCCCAGTCCCCAGTATGTTTTCCATGTTGTTCCCCATGTGATCCTCCATTCTTGCGGTAGCATCCCCCTAAATCCTTTGGAGTCACTATATGAGCCCCATGTAACCTTTATTTACATTCCCCTAAACCATATACAGTCCTGCATATCCTCATATAACTTGTATTTAAGCCCCCATATAGCCCTAAATCCCAAAACCGTGAACCCCTAGATCCTGAACCCTAAGAAACCCTAAAACTCTAAACCCTCAAACCCTAAACCCTAAAACCCTAAACCCTAAACGATTGAGGTCCACGTCTCGCCTAACGACCGGCTTCTGAGGGTGTGCTCTGAGCCCTTATTGAGGAGGTTTAGGGTTTAGGGTTCACGATTAGCTAGAGCTGGGAGCTAGCAAGGCTTCCTATATCACTACACGTGTTTGGTATGACCCCACCCTCCCAGAATCCCTTTTCATTTAAGATTTTCACCCGTCTTTCTTCCTTCGCTCGCCGCCTGCTCATGTCCCCTATAAGTCCCATATATTGTCTTTGCTTATAAACATTGAACGCCCCGGCTTCCGGAGCCTCCAGAAAAGTTCCAGCAATCTTCAGGACCACTGAGATTGAGATTAAAAACAAACTCAAGTGCCGGCGTCCTGAATTGATAGTACGATTTTTCAGTGGGCCCGCCGCAGGCGGGCCTCGAGAGGCCTAGAATCCTCCAGGCAGTTTCAGGGGCCTCCAGGGCGCCTTCGGGGCCTCCACGCGCCTTCAGAGAGCGCCTAGGTGCTTCCAGCAACCTCTAAGGTCTCCAGCTTCTCCACGAGCCTCCAGAGGCCTGGAGGCCTCCAGAGAGGCCTCCACCCAAAACCCAAAATCCAGAACCCAAAACCCAAACCCAAAATCCAAAATCCTACAGGAGCAACATAAAAACACGGCCCCGTATTAAGGCTTGTACATGTATATATAGAGGTAGAGAGACCACAGCCCGAAACCCAAAACACAAATCCCAAGACACGAGATCCAAAACCCAAACTCCAACACCCAAAGCCCAAAACCGTAAAAGGACAAAATCATACCGCAGCCCTTTTGAGGTTTAAGTTCATGTAGGTGGAGAGGGATTAGGGTGTAGGGTAAGGTGGGCTAAAGGATCTTTAGCATGTACTCTACTATATAGGGGCTTATTTCCTGTACCCGACCTTCCTTCAACCCACCTTTTGAGCCCTTTGACTTATTGAGGAGGTTTAGTTTGGCCAGGTATAACTCTAGTCTCCTTAGATTAACTTCAACCAACTTTTTACTGTAGTATAACCCTAAGCAAATATTAGACATCCCTAAACCCTAAACCCTAGGGGTCTACAGATAGGGCTTGAGGAGAAACAGCAAGTATGTAGGGATCAGCACGGGGAATTGAAGAGAAGATGGAATCAACAACATTATTTGGGCTTTAGGGTTTAGGGCCGCAATAATGGAGAATCACATGGTTCGGATCTTCAAAGAAAAGGTCCCTTTCATCAGGGGTCCCATGACAAGGATTGCAGTATTTCCCCAAGGTTTAGGGATATAGGCTTCAGGGTGATATTTTCTGATAGGCCTCCCCATGATTGAATGACTGGATCCTGGAGGGCCAAGTTACCGGACACATCCTATCACTTTAGATGGAGGTTTCCTGAAAGCATCCTGGCATTTTTGAGGAGGTTGTGCTGGAAATTCTATCGTTCTTAACTGCCGTAGAAATCCTAGGTCTTTTCTTGAGGTTCCCTCTAGGCATCTTATTAGCCTGGATCAGGTTCCCTTACAAATTCCTGCAACGAAATCCAGGTTCCGTTGGGCATCGTATCCTATCCTTTCAGATGGAGCGCCTACGTGTTTTGCGAGCTGGCATATGGCCATGCCCAACAGACGAAAGTACGTGGCGTAATCAAGTGCCTTGCAAGTCATATTTGGTAAGAAATGCGCTGGCTTGGAACTTCAAGTGGTGCTGGCTGCCAAAGTCCAGAGATTCCAGAGATGCCCGCGTGCTTAGTTCATTAGAGCCGGGTTCTGTGCAAGGTGTGCATCACCAGCACGGCATGGATGTTGTTTTGTTGCTTGTCCATATTTGGCTGGGGCAGGGATTTTCCGAATTGCAGTATGTCCGACTTTTCCGTGGCGCAAGGCTCAACCTACAAGCACATGCAACTCATCAGGCAGACAGCCCCTAATTGTTCAAGCTCTCGTAAGCCATAAACCCTAAACCTCCTTTCTCCATGCCCTCAGGGGCTTAGCCAGACCCTGCCAGATCCAGAAAGCTCCGCATCTCACATCCCGCGCCGACCATGAAACCTGAGATGGGGGTTTCCGAATATGACGGCTACCTCTTGGTGTTCACCATGATATCCCCTTATTTGGGGACAGATGTTGTTTGTTTGGGGGGGGTGCTGCCTCAACATCAACATGTCACGCCCACACAGCATTGCTAGAGTTAGGTAGCCATGACGTTCTTCGACTGGTGGGGTTTTCTCGGGCTTGTGGCCAAGTTCCACTTCCGAGCTTCATGTGAGCTATAGTCTAAACTCCCTAAAGGGGGGTTCTATAGGGGAATATATAGGGAACTAGTATAATGGTTATTAAGGGGGATGCTGGGAGCTTAGACAATGGCTCATTTGCTGTACTCTCAACATGTTGTAGTTTCCAGAAATAGGGGGACTTAATTTTGACCCCCCAAATACCATAGCCTTTAGTAGGGGCATCCCCTCAAAGTACCCCTAAAACAAGGAAACCCCCATGTATCCATGTATGCAGTTTCGCATCAAGGGCAGAGTGGGACCAAGGACAGGCATCCAGAGCATTTTCGCCTGGATGACCTTCAACCGAGATGGCACCGTTCCAAGATGTTTAGGGTTTATGTCTTATGTCTTAGGCTTAGGGTTTGTATAGCTCTGAGATACTCATGTTCCTCGCGTTGATGAGCGTATGCAGATTGACTTACACAATGTCATACGGTCTGTGCTTGTTTAAGTGGAAGAGCTATATTAACTAGAGGCACGAGCGGCCCAAGCTGCG